CCCCCGGGAAGGGGTGCTCTGTCCCACATGGTCACCACTCACCGACTAAGCAGCACCGACTCCGTTCTTTCTCAGCAGCCGCCTGCAGCAGGGCCCCCCTGCGTGCTTCTGAAGGTGGCCTCTTGTTCGAGAAAGTTACTTTTCTCTCCGTAAAAGTCACGTTTTGTTGTGGGCTTTCAGAACTGGATTCTGGAAATCCTGCAGAGCGCCGCCCGGGTTGCCAAGTCCGCCTATGAGATCGTCCGAGACTACAGCCTCTTAACGTGGGTCGTGCACATCCTCGAGAGCAGGTGAGCCAGCGGTGGGGCCCCTGGTGTGTGGGCTGGCCACGCCCTGGCCGGTGCCTCCCTCACCACCTGTGCCTGCTTTGCCAGCCACGGTCCTCTCTCTTCCCTTTCTGTGCCCAGGTCAGGCTCCTCCCTCAGGGTGCTGGCAAGCTTTACATGGCCCGAAAGAGCCCTGTAAGGAGCCCGTGGGGCCATGCATAAGCACTCAGCTGCTCACTGGAAGGTCAGCAGTTCGAACCTACTTGCCGTTCCCAGGGGAAAGATGAGGCCGCCCATGAAGAGTTCCAGCCTCAGAGGCCCTCAGGAGCAGTTTGACTCTGGCCCGCGGGGCTCTGTGACGGGCAGTTCTGAGACAGGGAGGATTTTTGAAGCTGACCTCTTAGAGACGGCCAGCTGCCAGTGAGTCAACTCTGACTCGTGACGACTCCCCCGTGTCACATGTGTCAGAGACTCTGCACCAGAGGCTGTGTTTTCAGAAGAGAGAGCCAGGCCTTTCTTCCACGGTACACTGAGTGGACTCGAAACTCCAGCCTTTCAGTTGGCAGCCAGTGCATTACCCAGGGGCACCACCCAGGGGCTCTCAGGGGTATGGGCCTGGTGTAAGGGGCTGCTCTAGCTTCCAGTGGGGTGAGGCCCTGGTGCAGCCTGGCAGATCACAGTGACCCCTCCAGAGCCGGGAGGCTGTCTGCAGGAGGCGGGGCCCCTTCTCATCCCACACAGCACTTGGTGGGCAGGGGCTGTTTTTCAAAGAACAACAAAACCCTCAGATTCCTAAGTGCCAGTTCTCAGCCAGGAGCCCTGGCGGCACTGCAGGGCAGTTGGTGGACTGCTGACCACAGACTGCCCCCCCTCACAGGAGGGGTAAGGCTGAAAAGACTTGCTGCCTCGGAAACCCTCAGAGTTGCCATGCGTGCGAATCACCTGGACAGCAGGTGGGGCATGCGAGTTGGCAGAAGTAACAGTTTTCAAGAAGAAGGCAGCTCTCACTGCCACCGCACCTTGGTCCGTATCTCTGAGGAGGGTGCGGAGGTGGGGAGGGGGCTGTCTGGGAAGGCATCGGGAGCCCCCTCCCTTGTCTTGAAGAGCAGCAAGCACCAGGTGTCTGCATAACAACCGTTTACTTGCGAACCGGCTTGGGGCAGGGCGCAGAGCACAGTGGATGCTGTCAGCAGAGGTTAAACTCCGGCCCCCAGGCCCTGGGCCTCCTACCCACGAAGGGGCCCATGTGAACAGGGTGTGACAGTCGGCCGTATGTGGTTGCAGGTTTCTGGAGACGCAGCTGCTCTCCAACGTCATCTCCCTGGTGCACACGCTGTGGGTGACCAACCTGGGAGACAGGTTGGTGGAGGCGGAGGACCGGCCCTCAAGAAAGCTGAGGTCCCAGGCACCCCCAAAACTGCTCGCCCTGCACCTCATCGACGAGTTCCTCTACGTCCTCATTGCACTCATGAAGCACCTGAGGTGAGCGCCTCCGGCCCCCGTGCTGTGAGGGTCACGCTTGTGGCCGACATCACGTAGCTTCCCCCTCGCTGGCGGGCACGGCTCAGCAAGTGGGACTGGCTGCGGGCTTGGGGACATCCTCTTGGCTACCTCTTACCGTCTGCTCCAGTTTTATAAGGTTTCTTTGCAAACCCTTGAGGCCTAACACACCTTTAAAATAGCTCAGCCACATCATACCAGTGAACCTTCGGCCTGGAGCGGCAGGGTCAAACTTTGGAATAAGTGGCTGGCACAGCCGCAAAGCACGAGGCGACCCTTCTGCTGCTTTGGCTCTGGGGGCTCCACTCTAGGGTCTGGCAGAGGGAGCCCGACTTGTGGGACAGGCCGTTCATACCCTGGTTCTGCAGCATACCCAGACCCCCTCCAGTCCCGGGCTCCTTCAATCTGTGACTGTCTCCTGACAGGCCCACCTTGGACCCTGCCCGCTTGACCAGCTTCTTCTGGACACTGGAATCCGTGCTGAAGTACCGGGTCACCGTCATGCAGGCCTTCAGGGAGTTGAACCGCTTCACCGTGAACGAGAGGGTGCTCTCCACCAAGGACGTCCTTGTCCTCCTGCACAAGTGGAGCCTCCTGGAAGGGGATGGCCAGCTCCAGGGAGCCCTGAGCACCGCTGCTGAGGCGCACCGGGTCAGGGAGCTCGCCAGTGAGTGGGGGCCCTGCTCCCTGCCCCGAACAGCAGCCCCAAAGCTGACAGAAGTGGGACAGGCTCTGCTGAGGCCCACACCGGTGCTGTGGGTTGGGGTTGGGGGAACAGAATTTCCACAAAAGAGGCAGGAGGGACTGCTAGACCCAACACACCTTTGTGTGAGTGTCTTGGCTTCTTGTGGGTCCTGGGTTTGGTGCAAACACCTGGGAAAGCAGCAGCCAACCGTGGTGCTCTTGGTCGCCAGCCAGGGCCACAGAGGACGAGGGACAAGGCCCGCGCGTTTGCACCCGAGAAACCTGGTCCTTTCACCTTCTCAGTGCCAGGCTGCTCACCTGTAATGTCAGTGGGGTGTGGGGAGCAGGGATCATCAACACAGCCTGGAGCCCCCCCCTTTCAGTAAAGTCAGTGGGGAGTGGGGAGCAAGGGTCATCAGCACAGCCTGGAACACCCCCCTCTTCAGTAAAGTTAGGGGGGTGGGGAGTGGGGAGCAGGGGTCATCAGCACAGCCCGGAGCCCCCTGCACTTCCACCTTCAGTAAAGTCAATGGGGAGTGTGGGTCAGCACAGCCTGGAGCCCCCGCAGCCCCACCCCCAGTAAAGTCAGGGGGGCACGGCCCCTCGGGTCCCCTTCAGCACCACCACTGAATGCCGAGCCTGTGTCCTCAGAACTGAGGCAGGGACCACACGGGCAGCTGAGAGGGCAGATGAGTCCGCTGTCATCAGGGCGCTGCCATCCCGGTGCTCTGCCCAGTCCCACCTGTACTGGATGGAGATGAAGGGGGCAGGCGTCTGGGTGGGAAGGGCTGCAGGTCAGGTGCTGCTCCGGCACTGACCTCTCTGTCTGTGTGCCACAGAGATGATCAAGGATAAGAACAAGCCTGTTGGACCAGCGCGCACCCGAGGCTCCCGGGGCCGCAAGAGGAGGCCTGGGGAGGCAGAAGAGACAGCTGCCCCTGAGCTGACGGCGGCCAGCCTAGACACCTGCCGGGGTCTGCTGCGGTCCATACTGACTCAGTGGGGGCCTGTGCCCCCCGCCACCGAGCTTGCTCCAGAGCCTGTGGATGGGGCCACCCCCGAGGGCCCTGCTCTGGGCCTTGTGCATGCCACGGCCTCCCTGGTGGCTGCCTGGGTGCTTCGGACAGTGACCAAGTGCCCCCCCAGTGGGGCAGAGGCTGCAGGACTCCTCGGCTGGCTCCAGAGCCACATTTTGCCACATCCAGGGGTGGTGGCTGACCTCCTCAGGGACGGCACGGTGAGGGGTGGCCTGTTCCAGCTGTATAGCCGGCTGTGCAGGGCCCCGGGGCTGGTGGGCCCCACACAGCCGGTCGCCTGCCTGTTCAACACAGTCATGCTGCGGCTGCTGGCCGCCCAGGGCCCCATGGAAGGCCCCTTCCACCGGGCCGCTGAGACACTCTGCCAGGCTTCTCTGACGGAGGAGGACGGGGATGTGACAGGTAATGGTCCCTTGGGCCGGGGGAGGGAAGCAGCTTCTGCTCTGTGGAGCCAGGATCCCCCTCCCTGGGTTTAACTGCTGGGGGGCCATTTCCATTCCACGGTTCTTGAGTGAAGGGGTGCGATGTCTGCTGGACTCCCGGGTAAAACTTCTCATGACAGTGACATCAACAGTGGGGAGGTGCCACCTCAGCCTTGTGGCTCACTGCCGGCTCTCCCGGCCTGTACAGCTGTGGCCTTCGCCCTTTTGTCCCCAAACATAGAATTGTAGTGTACGTTATGGCTAGAGGTGTATGTGCATGTGTGTGTCTGTGTGTGTGCATATGCCTGTATATGTGTGTGTATGTATGGGTGTCTCTGTGCTTGTGTGTGCCTGTGCATAGGTGTGTGCAAATGTAAGAGTATACATGTCTGTGTGCATGTGCATATATAAGTGTATGTGTGTGCGTATCTGTGTATGCATGCATGTGTGTGTGTCTCTGTGTGCTTGTGCATGCCTGTGTATGGGTGTGTGCATACATAGGTGTGTCTCTGTGTGTACATGTGTGCACGTGTGTGCGTGTGTGTACATGTAAGTGTAGACATGTCTGTGTGCATGTGTGTGCGTGTGCGCGCGTTTGGCATTGAACAGGTGATTCAGAAGGTCCGAGTGAACAAATGAACGGAGAACAGAGGACTGGCTCCCAAAAGCACTAAAGTGCTCTGAAGGAACACCAGGGCGGTTGATGGCTCCCCGGCGTAGGGCTGACGTGGGACTGCACCCAAGGATTGCATCTCCTTGCCCATGGTACCTCCTTTCAAGGCTGCTGAGGGAACAGTGCACAGAGTCCATGAAGTGAGGGCACAGCGGACGTCTTGTCCGCACCCTCACTCAGGTGCGGGCTGCGGAGCGGGGTGTTTCCCCCCTCACGGCCGTGCTGTCTGCCTCTCCCCAGCCGCCGCTGCGTTCCTGGTGTCGCTGTACGTCAAGGACCTCTGGCTGGGAGCCCCGCGGCCCCACACCCTCCTGGCCCACGCCCAGATGATCCTTGAAGCCACCGAGGAAGCACCAGGTGGTGATGCACGCCGGGCCCCAGGGGGCGCCATCCTCGTGCTCTGCAAGGACATCCTGGCCTCTGCCCAGACCCCGGAAGTCAGCCCTACTGGCACCACAAGCTCCCGGCTCCAGGGCTTCGGTTCAGCCAGGATGCGCATGGAGTCCCGTGCGAGGACAGACACGGTGCTCTAAGGTCCCGGCAGGAGAGCAGAGAGGACGTACTGTTGGCCTCTCAGTAAGAAACTCGGGGCTGTGTGTGGAACAGTCAGTGTCCACGGGGACATCACATGACCCTTCCCCTTGGGGTGTCCTCGTGAGGTACGGTGTCTGAGTGCTAAAGGGATCCGTGGCTATTAAAACCAGATGTCAGCTATTTCATCTCAGGAGCCTGAGGGGAGATTGTGAACTCAGTCCTTGCTCCCAGAAGAAGGCCCAGAGAAAGCTTTGAGCAAAAGTGGAGGGTCCTGTCCTCCTTGTCTGTTTGGATAAGTGAGCGGGTTTTACAGTAAATCCTCAACGTGTAAAGATGATTCAACCCGTCTGTATTTTTTAAAGTTGTGTTTCAAAGAGAGGGATTGTGAATTTCATAAATCCTTGTAAATAAATGCCTATTTTTATAAAATTGTGTATTTTGCCCTAATGATGTTTACAAGCTACTTTTATTCCACAGAAACCTGAATCTGACAGGTCAGGTTTGGCTCTTAAAGGTTCGGATGTGAATTGGTGTGGTCGCAGACACATGTCAGACATGACAGTTCATGCTCAGTTTGCAGACTTGCCCCTGACTGCTCCCAAGCAGGAGCAGGTTGGCCAGGTAAACTCAGCATTGATGGATTATGATCAAAGTTTCTACCTCATAGTTTGTGGTACGATTCTTGGGGTCTTAAGAGTTTGCAAATGACCGCCCAAGTTATAGCATGTAACCTGCTCACGGAGCCACAGAGGGGCGAGTAGAAGTGGGAGTTGAACCAACTGAGACCCGGAGAACTACATGGTGCCCATCTACCATCAATGGTTCTAATAGAAGAATCCTAATTAAAAAAGGTGAAATACAGGATAGACTCTGAAAATACCATGGAATCCAGGTGTTTCTGAAGCCTTTAAGGCTGGGTGAATCCTCAGAACCATCGCCCTGGACTAACCTGTAAGCATTAAATCAGAAACTTCCCCTAAAGTCTTTAAACCAATTAATGGTTTAGCAGAATTAGTGAAGAGTGCCCACCTTGGGCGTTGTGCCCTTTGAAATGAACCATCTTCATGTGGAATCAGATCCACGATGGCCACCCAAGAGGCTCGGGAGACGGGCTGAGTGGGCAGGAGGCTTGTTCATGGGAGAGGGACAAACGGAAAGAAGGTGAGTGGAGTACAGCTGCTGGGACATATTCTGTCACTGAAGGGTGCTCAGAGGAAGGGTTGGCTCCGTGTTCTCCGTATTTTCAACAACAAATACTCTTCATTTCAGAAGTAATAGTTGACACTGACGTCCCATTACCCCCGCCCCCCCGCCACAAACCACAACAACCCAGGATCATCAAGTTGATTCAACTCAAGCAACCAGAGAGGACAGAACAGAACTGCCCTTTTCCAAGGGGTTCCAAGGGTTTCTGAGGCTGTAAATCTAAGGCCTCATCTTTCTCCTGTGGACGTTGTGGTTAGCTGCCTACATTGTAACCTGCCCTGCCACTGTGATCATTAGGTTTCACATCAGCATGGGAGGGCCAGGATTCTCCATGATAAGACCTAACAGTGTGTGGTGAGCTCTGTAGTGGGATCTTCTGTGTAGCCACCAAGCAGTTGTAGGGAAAAATAGACCTCGTAAGACTGGCCCCAGCCTTGCAGCGATTGAGCGAGGTTTCGTGGTTAGGGTGTGGCCTGCTCGGAGTGTATGTTGACAGCACGTGGAAGCTAGCTGACCTCTTCTGCTGGATCCTGTCCCTTGACCTGCTTCCACCAGCTTATGGTCTTCCTGCTTCACTTCCCCGCTTCCTGTTCATCAGCCCCTGCAGCTATAGGACTCAGGAGAAGCCTTTGCTTACATCTGACCCACGGACTGGACCTAGGCGGGAAGTGGCCACTTCCACAATGCGGGAGCCTTTCCTTGGTAAAGGCTGTTTCTGTGTACCTGCGCATACCAGTGTGACCAGTCTGGCTTCCCTAGGGAACCCAGCCTGACAGACACCAGTGCTCCAGATGAATGAATTCACTTTCTCAACGATCCCAATTCCTGTACATTTTACCTTCCTACCATTCACAGAGCAAGTATAAGCAGTTAACACAAGCAGGTAAGCTGAACCAGGTGAAAACAGCAGTGTCGGGGGACTGCTTTCCTAGGTTTTTGGGGGGATTGTTGCTTTGACTTTGACTCATGGCCACCCAGATGACAGCAAAGCTGCCCCGTACGGTCTCCTGGGGACAGAGTGCCAAATCTGTGCTCCCACAGGGCCCCCAGTTGTCTTGAACCACCAACGTTTTGGTCAGCAGGTGAGCGTGCCACCGATGCTTCCTCCCCTCTGGTGGATGGGCTGTGTGCAGTCTTTCTCCCGGTTTGCTTGAAACCCCTGTGCCCCCCAAACACCAGGGTCTGCTCCATGGCCACCATCCTGGCTTGATGGCACAAGCGGCATTCCCTGTCTGTCTCCGGAAAGGCACTGAGCTCCACATTCCTTCAGCAGTTGGACTTCTCTGTACCACCAGTGTGCTGCACAATCTTTCCTGCTGTGCTTTGTTTTTTTAACCCAGACAAGACTGTCAACTTTCACATAGCTCTTGCCTAAGAAAAAGGTAAGCATCATTTATTCCCCTGCCCTACCCCCAAAGAAAAACCCCATACTATAGGCATAATAATTTAAAATGTGGCTTAGTAAAGATGCAAACTACTTGCTTTCAAGTTGATTACTAGGCGTGGCAACCCCATGTAGGTCAGAGCCGAGCTGTGCCTTCAAGGCTTTCACCCCTGATCTTGCAGGAGCAGAGCGCCAGGCCTTTCTTTCAAGGCCCCTCAGGGGCGGCGAAAAGGAGGAAGGCCCTTGAGCAGGTGGATGGACACCGTGGCTCCACATGGGCTCAGGCATGGACAGCTGTGAGGATGGTGCGGACCAGGCAGTGTTCTGTTCTGTTGTGCACAGGGTCACTATGGGCCGGGGCTGACTCAAAGGCACCGAACAACAAGTACAGGTGGACTGAGAGCCCTATCGCTGCAGGGAACAGCCAGGGCTTCACCTTCGGCACCCTCAGTCAAGATGAGTGAACAACGTTTTCCTTTTTTCAAAACTTCATTCTTACAGACTTTATTGCCCTGCTATTCCCAAAGCGAACATCAACAGGTAAGTGAGCAAGGTAATTGTGCCAAGCAAAAGCAGCCACCGACGGGACTGCTTTGCTACGCCAGAGGGGCGTTTGGCAGGCTTTTGCTCAGGTGATTTGCTTCCTGGTAGAGCCCCACCGGACTTCGTTGCACTCCCTGCTACATGTAAATGGGCTTTAAGTAAACAAGGTGTGTCCAGGCGGTGCGGTGTGGCGTCACCAGGTCCCTCGCCGTGGCCGGCATGTATTGGTGTCTGTTCAGAGAGAGGCTTTTTGCTGCTGTCAGCTGATGCCTTGGTGGTCTTCCTCAGGAGCCAATTCCCAATGGGGAGCAGGCAGGATCTGGGAGGGTGCAGGGCCTGTGGCCGAGGGGCTCTCTGGGGGCAGTGGGTCCTCGGGGTCTGAACCTCTGCTTCCTGGTTCCTCCTCGGAGCTGGGCGCCATCGAGGCCCCCGGGGGACCCAGGTGCATTGGCTGCCTTTGGACGCAGAAGGGGAGGTAGAAGAACTGGCTCCACGAGCGCGCTGGGGGGTTCTGGGGGCTGCTCCTGTGGACAGAGCACACCGGAAGGAGGAGTCAGAGAAGCCTGCCCAGAGCTGTACCAAGAGCGCGGGCATGGCACCGTGGGGAAAACCCAGGGGGGGTCATCCCCAGGCCACAGGGTGGCCAGTGTGCAGAAGTCTACGAAAAGAAGCAGTGCTTAATCATGAGCTAGACCTCTTTGACCAGTGGCTCTCAACCTTCCCCATGCTGTGACCCTTTCATGCAGTTCCTCATGTGACCCCCAACCATAACATTATGTTCCTTGCCACTTCATATGCTGGATATATTTTCTTACAAATTGAACAAAATTAAAACAGTGATTAATCACAAAAAGTATGTAATTATATATTGTGAAATATTTATTTCTAATGACAAATAAATGAAGTTTTGTCTTGAAGCCTGGTGTAGCATGGGTAACAGTCTTCATGCCGGGTACTCGTATGTGGGAGTATCTGCATGTAGGTGGACCCGGCCAGGGGATGGATAGAGGAGCGGTGTCTCAGTTCCTAAGACCATCGTTGGAAATAAGTGCTTTCCGATGATCTTTGGCAACCCCTGTGAAAGGGTCATTCGACCTCAAAGGGGTCGCGACCCACAGGTTGAGAGCCATTGTCTTAGACCATCATCCACCTGTCAGTTTTCCCTGTTCTGGCGGCTTGCATGTTGCTGTGATGCAACACCTTTAATTAATATATAAATTGAAAATAGCCACTTAGACCTCACCAGAACTATGCTGGTCTTATTTCAAATACCAGCAGGGTCACCCGTGGCAGACAGGATTCAGTGGAGCGTCCAGATGCAGAAAGCCTAGAACGGACGGCCTGGAGATTCAACCAGCCACTTGTAAATGGCGGTGGGAAATGGATGCCAGAAGATGAGACCCTCAAAATAGAAGAAACTGCGACGCAGAAGAGCTGTTTCCTCGATGAAGAGGCGGCCTCGGTGGAGGGGGTGGAGCAGAGCCTTTGCGACCGTCGCTCGCTGATGTGCCCTGGCCGCACAGGAGAAGAAACCGCGGCGAACATCCACTCGTCACGGGAGCGTGAAACGTGCAGAGTTGGAACCTAGGACAATTGGAAGTCATCTCAGGGGACATGGGACGTATAAAGATCAATGCCCTAGGCATTAGTGAGATGAAGTGGAGAAACATCGGCCACTTTGAATCAGACTATCAAAGGGTTTCATCGGCATTACTGTCAGGGGCAGGATGACACCCCTATGTTTACAAGGAAGGCCAGTAAGCAGGGCATTCGAATTTACACACCAATACACAAAGGCCAAAGGTAAAGAAATGGGAGACTTACTAGCTTCTTCTGATATTGATCAGTCAGTCAAGGTGATGGACAACCATAGGTGACTGGAATGTGAGATCTGGGAACAAAGAAGATGGGCTGATAGCTGGGAATATGGCCTTGGTGACAGAAGTTGTGCTGCTCATCCTACGATGAGGTTTTGCAAGACCAGTGACTTACACATTACAAATGCCTTTAATTAATATATAAATGGAAAATAGCCACTTAGACCTCACCAGATGGAATCACGGGATCAGATAAACGACAGCTGTGGAAAGAGAAGATGGAGAAGCTCAACGCCATCAGTCAGAATAAAGCCAGGCCGAAGGCAACACAAACCTTGCTCATAGGCAAGTTCAAGTTGAAGCTGAAGAAAATTAAAACAAGTCTAAAAAAAGCAAAACTACGACCTTGAATATCTCTCTCTGAATTTAGAGACCCTCTCAAGAATAGAGTCGATGCCTCTCTACCAAGAATGATGCCCTTCAGGGATTAGCCTCGCCTGACAGGATGTCCAAAGTCTGAAATGAAGTCCTGCCATCCTTGTCTTTAAGAAGCACTCCGACTGTACTTTTTCTGAGACAGGTTTGTTTGTCCTTTTGTAAGTCCATAGTATTTGGGGCTTTCCATACATTCTTTGCACTGTTGACTTTGGGTGGTCCTTCTGGCATTTGAAATGCCTGTAACAGAGCTTCCGGCATCACAGCGACACATATAAGCCAGCACAGTACAGCAAGCAGACAGACCGGTGGTGGTACTCGTGTGGAGAAGCTAGAGCAAAAGGAAGAAATGGCGAGGTAAAGATTTCAAAGGGTGGCTCGAGAAGGCAAAGTAAAATACAATAATAAGATGTGCAAAGACCTGAATTTAGACACTGAAAGAGCATGCTCAGCATTTCTCCAGCTGAAGTAAAAAAAATTTAAAATTGGGGTTAGGATACTGAAGGATTTTATGGGCAAACTAGTGAATGATGCAGAAAGCACCCAAAGAAGATGGAAAGGTCACTGCACCAAAAAGAAATGGTCGCCATTAAACCCTTTCGGGAAGTGGCATAGAATCAAGCACCTATGATACTGAAGGAAGGCATTCTTTCAACCCATCACAAGTACTTTCTGTCTCCTGCAGCTGAATCCAACTCAAAGGTGCCAGCTGCTTAAACTGGTTTGATGATATCTATCTCTGAAGGTGGACATTGCATAATGAGGACTGAAGAACCGATGCTTTTGAATCGTGGTGCTGGAGAAGAGTATTGACAGTACCATGGACTGCTCGAAGGACAAACAGATCCGTCTTGGGAGACATATGGCCAGAGTGCTCCTTAGAGGTAAGGATTAGAACAAGGGTGGCGAGACTTCATCGTGTATACTTTGGACATGTTGAGACACCAGGCCCTGGAGAAGTACATCGTGCTTGGTAAAGTAAAGGAGCAGCCCAAAGAGGGTGGCCTTAGTGACTGCACCAGTGGGTTCCGGCACAGGAACAATTGCGAGGATGGCGCTGGGCCGGCAGCGTTTCCTTCTGTTGTGCATAGTAGGGTCACTATGGGTTGTGTGTAGCGGACTCGGGGGCAGGCACCTCACAACAACAGCCGTGAAGAATGAAGGTTGAGACCTAATCCCACCTTAATCCCACCCATGAGCAGAGCAGAGAACTCCCTCCAAAAGGGGATGACAGCACAGGCTGAGAGTCGGAATTTATCATGCATCACATAAAGAATTAGGCCTAGAAGGACCTTACTAATTGACTACATCTCAGCCTTCATTGAAATCAACAGACATTCCATATTCAGTAAATCTTCACTGTATTTATTTCTTAAAAATTTTGTATTATTTTCAGTATTTGATTATTGGGTTTAATCCCTGGAAATACCCTGTATTTGGTCTTTATGATTGCCTACATTGTTATCTACTTTTTGAGATCATTCTTAATATTTTTGAAGTGCTCGCCCCACCCACCCCCGCCCTGCCCAAATAGAGACACAAATATTGATTTAATGTTCTGGTGACAGAGACACAAATATTAATGTTCTGGTGACAGAGTGGGTGCTGCACTGGGCTGCTAAAGTAAAGTCAGCGATTCAAAACCACCAGCGGCCCTGCAGGAGAAAGATGAGGCTTTCTCCGTCCACAGTGTAACCGTCTCAGAAACCCACAGGGACAGTCTGGGTTTTGCAGGGTTGCTCTGCGTCGGCCTTGAGGGATGACTGCGTTTGGGTTGAGTGAGAGCTTTGCATTTGGAGAATTCCCCTGAGTAACATTTGAAAAGCTCGCCTGGCAGTGGGAAGTCCCCAGAGCTACTGCTTATTTGGGAATGTCCTGATTTTTTTTATATGACAACGTTGTGAACAAATTCTTGGTTGGCGGGTTTTTTTCACTTGACGTTTTATATAGGTCATGCCATTGTCTTGGCTTCTAGCGTTTCTGTGGGGAGGAAGCGCAGCCTTTCCTAGGAAGGACCATTGGATTTCTCCTGCTGCTTTCAGACTTCTCACCTTGCCTTTGGTGTTCAGGAATGTTATTAGGACGTGAGGCAGTGTTGATCCTTTGTGCGTCTTAAAACTGGAGTTTAAGTTGCTTCCTGGATTTGCAGGCTTGGCTTTCTGTTTGGGTCTGGAGATATGTTTCTGATGGTCTCTTGGAGAACTGTTTCCATGCATTGTGTTGGCTGTGGCGCTCTGGCATTCCGAGAGCACTCATATGTCTTCATTAAGTCCCTTATTTCCATTTGGATTTGCTCACTTTGTTCTGCTGCCTCTCTTCACTGCCACTGCCGTCGAGCCAGTACCGACTCACAGAGCCCCCCTAGGACAGGGCAGCACTGCCCCTGTGGGTCTTCACGAGAGTAAAAAGCCCCGCCCTTCTCCCACGCAGCTGCTGGAGATTTTGAACTGCCAACCTTGTGAATCACAGCTCAACTTGTAACCACTACGCCACCAGGGCCCCTCCTGTATTTCTTAAGACTTGATCAAGTCAGTTAGTTTGTCTTCTAGCTTATTTATTCCGTCTTCTGTTTGACACTGTTGTTGCCTTATTTTGCAGTTCCAGTGGTTCTCCAAAGGAGCCCTGGTGGCATAGTGGTTACAAGTTTGACCACAGTCTGCAGGGTCAGCAGTTTGAAACCACCAGTCACTTTGAGGGAGATGAGGCTTTCTTTTTACCTTGGTCCTGTAAAGCGTGACCATCTTGGAAACTCCCAAGGGCAGTTCTACCCTGTCCTATAAGGTCGCTGTGAGTCAGGATCAACTTCATGACAGTGAGTGAGTGAGTAGTTCTCTGGTTTCTTTGTTTGGTTTTTGTGTTTTCAGTTTCCTTATTGAATCTCTCATTATGGTCCTACATTTGCCTCCTGGTTTCTGCTAGTTTATTTGTTAGTTTTTATAGTTGCTGGATTTGGGGGTTTTGGTGTGTTTTTAGCTTTCTTTAAACATGTTTATACCTGTCTGATTTATTGAGTGCTGCTTTAACAGAGAGAAAGAGAAGGCTTTCTACTCCCGTAAAGAGTTAGTCTTGGAAACCCACAGGGGCAGTTCTACCCTGTTGTAATGGGTCAACATAAACTCGATGGCAGTCACTTTGTGTTTCCTAGAGTGAATTATAACAGAAGTGCCACAAGTGGATGGCTTTGCCAAACAGAAATTCATGTTTGGGAAGCTGGAAGTCCAAATTCAGGAAGCTCCACAGGAAGGCTTGCTTTCTTGTTGCCTCTAGTGGAAGGTCTTCATCTTCTTTCAGCATCTTTGGGCCTGACGATACTTGGAGATGGCCATTTGCTTTGGCATCGATATCCCCGTGGTCTAGGAGGTTCCCTTTGTAGGGACCCTGTTCCTAAGGACACCTTCTTATTTTTTGGTGGGAGTCAGGCACCCTTCTCTGCTGCTTCCTTCTCTCTCCTCATCACTTGTAAGATAAAAGGCGAAGTAGGCCACAGCCCAGGGAAACTCCCCTTACATCAAGTCAGAGCTGTGATTGGATTCGGGTGCTGTGTCCCACCCTCATTCCCTTCAACATCATTATGTAACTGCCAAATCGCATCACTGTGTGACTGCCAAATCACTGAGACTCCTGCTCAGCCAAGTTGATACATATGTTTGAGAGGCACAATTAAACCAGGGACAGCCCCATAGTCTGAAATTGTTTAATACTTTCTGCTCTTCTGGTGTCCATAGGAGAAACTTTGCCTTCTTCGTATTTTGCTTTTGAATAGTACTTCTTTCCTCGTGACTTTTTGTGCTTTACCATTTTTTGCTTAACTTGGACTGTTTACCCCTCTTTCCCCTTTTTTCTTATATTAAACGTATTTTGGTTTTTGTGGGAAATGCTCCTGATAGGGTGCCTGGGCAGTGCAGCGGCCAGGTCCCCAGCTGTGAACTGAAAGGCTGAGGCCTGCACACAGCCTCTACTTCCTAGGAGAAAGGTACAATGCCTGCCGCTGCAAACCTTCACAACCTTGGGAAACCCACAGCTTAGCTCTGAGTCCAATTCCACCCAGAGGCAATGGGCTTCTCTCGAGAGCCACTAGAGGGCACTCATATCCTCAGCTGTTTACCTCTACCCCAGCAATGATTGAATGAAAAACAAACTCACCTCCATGGGAGTTAATGCTGACTCACAGCAACCCTATAGAGCAGAGTAGAACTGCCCCTGCGGGTTAAATAGGAAACCCCATCTCGCTCCCCTTGTGCAGCTGGTGGTTTTGAACTGCCAACCTTGAGGATTGCAGCCCAGTGTATAACCACTCCACTGGGGCTTAGCCGGTTGCAGACTGTTGTACAGTGCAGGTGGGACTGTGTGTCTTTCCCTCGCAGTTGTCCTTGCCTAGGATCTTCCCTCGGGGTCCTCTGTGGGCATGGAGACAAAGGGTTCTCTGGGTTGCCCTGTCCGTGGGCGTATTCCCCTTGCCTGGTTGCCCCTGTCCCTCCCGATCCCAGTGCCCATCAGTCTCAGACCTCAGTGAAATTCAACAGCATCGGGGTCCCTCCTAATTGCTTGGCCTGCAAACTTCCATGGCCCATGTGTGCTGCCTGAAGAAGACCAGGCTGTAGCTACCTCAGGTAAGGCCTGTTCTCTGGTTCCTGGGCAGGGTTTTACCCTATGTGAGTTAGCATTCCCGATATGAGCAGGTAGGTTCTCTCAGCTTCTGGGCTGTGCTGGTCTCTGCTCCAGAACTAAACTCCATTCTCCGACACGCTGCCTGCCGTCTGGAGCTCTGAGATCTTAGTCTGGGCCTGTTTTCACTGTTGTTCACAGGGCTCATTGTCCGGGAATGAACGGCAGCCTCCGCCCGCCTCTCTGGGTTTCTCTTCGCTCGCTCCATAGGGCTGTTTTCAGCAGCTGAGTGTTGGGGAAGGATATTGCCAGGCCTTTCTTCCAAGGTGACCTTCAGGCAGCATCTGAGCACTGAACATTTGTGCCCCCAGGGACTCCTCACGCTCGTGGGACCCAGACTCCGCAGCCAGTAAGCATTCAGTAGCAGACCGTGGCCACACATGCCAAAGATAAGGCCTTCTTTTTCTGGTGAGCTGATTGGTAAGCCTTAACTAACACAGGTGACCACTTGGGCTTGATTTTATTTAATGACTATTGAGATATAATTTCCATACTGCAAAGTTCGCCCCTTTAAAAGGCACACTTCCGGGGTTCAGGAGTACAGGTAGTCCCCAAGTTAACAACAGGGTTCCTTTTTAATTACTCCCCCATACATCCGTTCTAACCTAAGTTGATCTGTCTTAGCAAAAACTTTTTTTTCCCCTTCAGTTTTTGATATCACTGCTTTTTATTATCAGTGTCTTTACAAATGGAAATATTACATATGAACATCAGCAAATGAGGTGCTTCAGCATTGTGTGTGGCACAGATTAACAATGATGTGTTTAAAAAGATGGTCATAACTTTGGTTCATTGTAACTGGAACACATTGTAAGCCAAGGACTTCCCATATAACCCCAGGGTTGTGCACACAGTCTAAGTTTCGAGAACTATCATCCCACCCAAGTGGAAACCTTGTGCCCATTAGCAGTCATTCCCCATCCCATGTCCCTCCCCTCTCCCCAGCCCAAACCAAGTGAGTTAGTTAATTGTGCCAGCCTGGCCGATAATCACATGTGGTGCTGGTTGAAAGGCGGAGGGATAAATGGGTGGTGAAGCCTCGCCTTTCTAGTTCTCGGGTCTCTTGTTTTGTAATGGTTGCACCAGGGTGCAGCTGCCTTAGCAGTTCCCTGCTTCAGCTTGCAAGATTGACTTCCTACAAGACATCCCCAAGGAGAAGCTACATGGACCTACCCCAATGCAGCCCTGGGTGCTGGAGCAGCCGTGTGGAGACCCCTGCTAGTGCTGAGATGCTTGTTCGTTCACTGACTCAGCTTTCCTCCTGCAGTCGGCATCATTGCCTCTGTTTTGTGAGGTGGAGGACTTTGTGGACTGGTGTTGGGTTAATGGGTTAATGTTGGACTTGTGGGCTTGGGCAGCATTGGGTTGGGATGTTTTCGTGATGCACCTTTTCTTTACATAAAACTCTTATACATGAGTCGCTGTGGATTTGTTTCTCCAAAGTACCTAGACTAATACACCAAGACAAACCATACTCCTCCATCAGGTCCATGCAGACATGGCAACACGACAGGAAAGAGTAGAACTGCCCCTATCGGGTCCCGAGGCTGCCACTCCATGGGAGCAGAAAGTCTCCTTTCTCCAGTCGATGTGTTTGAACCTCTGACCTTGTGGTTAGCAATCTAACACATAACTCACTACATCACCAGAGCTCCTTTGCCGCATCCTCCAAAAACTCACTGCCACTGAGTGGATTCCGACTCATTGCTACCTTACAGGAAAGAGTAGAATGGCCCTGTGGGTTTCCAATACTGTAAGACATCTTCATCCCTCAAAGCAGTGTGTGGTAGTTAGATATTGTGTCAACACTCTTGGCTAGGGGCAGAGTTCAACCTGTCAATCAGGTCACAGCCTGCTGATGCCTCCTGGTGGGTGTGGCTTTTTGTGTAAGGGAGAACCTGGCAACTTCCCTCTTTCTGCCCCTCCACCTTTCTGCTTGCTGGGGCTCTGCCTGCCTCCTGGATAGCCCCATGTGGGCCACTGACCCTGAGAGCTCTTTGTGCCCTGACATGTTTCTACCAATGGTGGATCCACCCGACTGTACCCAGTGGCCCCTGGTCTTCCTGCCTCCCACTGGATCCTTCTGTATCATTGGCCTGAAGCTACGTGAGTCTGAAGAGGCCCCCAGATACCATCAGACGTATGGATTTGAGTTGGATTAGTCTGGTATACCTTCTTGATAGAAGAAGATTACTTGAGATCTAGATCTTGATAGAAGATTACTTAAGATCTAGAAGATCTTGATAGAAGATTACTTAAGATCTAAAGCTCATGCTTATATATGTCTCACTGGATTTATTTCTCTAGACAACACAGTCTAACACACAGCTGGTGGGTTTGAACTGCCAACCTTGTGCTTAGTAGCTCAACATGTAACTCCTTACACCACCAGAGCTCCTTGCCCTACCCTACGTATCCACTAATTTACCAAAAACTAAACGTGCTGCCAAGTCGATGCGGGCTCATAGTGAGCCTACAGGACAGGGTAGAACTGGCTCCGGTGAGTGCCTGAGACTCAACAGGAATAGAAAGCCCCATCTCTAGGTGTGCCTATTCTGGATATTTAGTATCAAAGGAATCACATACTATTGTGGGGATATAAAAATACGTTTCCCCAGCTTTGTCTCCCCCAAAGACATGCCAAACATTAGGGGCTGTTTGCCAGCACATGGTGGGAGGTCAGGTGCTTAGAGATATTCTCCCTGAAGGCATTCAGTCATCAGACTGCTGTCTGGTCCACTGTAGGTGGGGCTCACACCCTACTGATAAGGATAGTAATTGTTTCCATGGAGAGCCAGAGAAGTGACCAAACCTGATCAGTGACATCCAAAGTTAGGCGGCCTTCCTGAATCTAGGATCCACCCATCTTGTCACATGTGTACCCCCAATCCCTCCCCTTCTTATTTCATGTATGCCCCTATATTGTCCCCTTCTCATTTCTGTATTACCTATAGTACAACCCCTTCCTGTGACATAGGTCTTTACCCATAATTAGGGAGCTTGTATGCTCCCAAAAGGTATATAAACCTTGGTTAGTAATAAATGTCTGCGTGGTCCTGGCTGGCAAGATTATGGCCATCCAGGAGGTGCGCATGCTACCACGAAATGTGTCTGACTCCTTTATTTCACTTTCTCCTGTCTCTTATTCTCGATGACTATTCCGTCATCTTTACCTATTCTCGCTGTACCGTGGCGCCTGCCGGACCTGTGATGATGTGTTAGGGGCTGGCTCCCCTGACACACTGTTGCCTTTTGTGACTGTGTCGTTCTTTCCCTCAGCCTCGCGTTCTTGAGGTTCATCCATGCTGTTGCATGATGACCAAGTCACATTGCATTGTGTCGATATGCTGTTGCTCCCGAACAGCCAGCTGAGTGACCCCCGTGCCCCTCCCACTTACCTCCTCTGGGGGGTGCCTGACCAGGACATGCAGAGCAAGATGAGGAAGAGAAGCACCACGAAGAGGACCAGGCTCGCCCAGAAGGCAATGACAATGGAATCTGCAGGAGGAGGAGATGGCAATTAGTGGTGGCCTGGTGCAGTGGAAACCAGTAGCAAGCAAGGGAGAGGAGTGTATGTAGAAGGAACCCTGCTGGTGCTGGTGGTTAGGCGTCGGGTGCGAACCACAAGGTCACTGGTTCAAACCCACCAATCTTTCCTCTGGAGAAAGATGAGGCTATCTCATCCTATAACGATGTTCAGTCTTAAAAATCTACAGAGGGTCATAGTGCAGTTAGGGTTTATATCAACTTGGCTCCGTGTGAACCTGGGGTGGAATCTAGCCTGTTGGTCAGGTCACAGCCTGAGGATGCCTTCTGAGGGGTGTGACAGAGAGCTTCCCCTTCTTTCTCTGCCCCTTCGCCCCTCCTGCTTGCTGGGCCGCCAGACCCTGAGAGCTGTCAGGTCCTGCCATGTGTCCCACCCACCTTGGATCCAGGTGACGCTGTACCC